TTTTTTCCTACTTGTTTATTTTAGAAATATCAGGAATGTTTACTCTGGACCTCCCTGGTTTTGCTGGAGGGCTTGTTCAGGGTCTCAGACAATGAATAATGTTAAGTGTTTAATCTTTAACAAAGTCTTCCATTCTCAAAAATGTTAGCCATTAAATTGGAATTAACAAAAACCAGACTTTAAAACTGTCTGATTAAAAATCCTCTAGTTCAGTATTCCGTAATTTTCCTCTTATGATGTCATCCTTTCAGAATGCCTTCATACATCATTTAATAAAAACCCCACAAGTTTAATATTCATTGTTCTTTATTTGCAGGTCATTTTTAGGTGAAATTTGAACCCAGATCTCTATGGGTGAAAGACTAGTATGTTAACAATTGCCGCTTCTAGTCACTAGGTTCGTTACATTAGGTGATAGACAAAGGTTTTCTCCATTTTAATACTTAGGATTATATATGCTCATTATACAAAGTTGCATTACCCAAATTCAAGTTGCCTGAATACATTTTAACAGGGTACATTTTCATGTCATTAAATCTGCATGTTCAAAGCACAGAAAGCAGAACATCCAACAACCAACAGTGAGGCCCCCACCACAGCACCAGACCTGAAAGCCACTTTCCTTTGGAGGGGGGCAGGTGTTAGTAGTAACTGCACTTGGATATGGACTTTATGGATTATTCCCGCAACTCTCTAATAAGTGAAACCAAAACACAAACTTGGGGTGTTTGAAATTCACATCCATGTTTTGTAGCTCCAGCCCATGTAGACAAAGGATATAGAGTGAGGCTCTGAAAAGTCTCTTCTGTAGAGATATGACCCAGCTACCAGGATTCTCTCTCCTGGGTCTCCGCTCCCCAGCCTGAGGTTGGTAGAGCTCCGCAGGCTTCAAAAGACTGTTGATCACTGAGGCGACAGTTGTGCAGTTGCGAGAGCAAGCCAATCGCCCTCCCCCCGTCTGTTTGCGCACCGCCAGCTAACCTGAACAGCTACCTTGGGCCTCACCGGACACTTTCTTCTTGGCTGGTCAGCAAAGGAGCTAGGCTTCTGCCGTTGCTGCTTCAGCTCTTCTCCCCAGACTTTCTGAAGCACGGCAGGAAACCTTTCCAGTAGAGTCAGGCCTGGCTCTCCGGAACGATGGCCATGGGAGGGCTTTTGCCAGAAACGCTTTGTTCGGCGCGTCGGCCCCTGTTTTTCTCTGAACTCTTGGGTTTCCTGTCAGTGTTTGGGGCTCAGTGCATTGTCTTGGCGCTCTCCATCCTGCGAGCACAACTCCCAGGTCCGACCCTCCACTGGAGGGAACGTGTTTGGGGAGCAGGTGGAAGGGTCGTTGCTGAGTGCCAAGGAGCGGGTTGTCACTCTGTGCTTTTGGACCTTTAACTCACTTTTCAGATCCCTTCTCCTAGGAAGGCTAAGGAATTTGCTTTGGAAGCTGGCTTTTGAGGCAACTCAGAACCCCACCGAGCAGAGCCCTCTGCATCAACACCAGCCATGGAATGGTCCCACGCTCCCTGTCAGCGAGCACCAAGGGCTTGTGAAAGGATCCCGGGTGTGTACAGACACAGTAGCTGGTCAGGACCTTCCTGACTGAGGAGACTGGGAGCTGCTTATTTGGTCAAGGAAAAATTCAAGATGGTCACTCTGGGAGCTGCCTTCCCTAGAGAAGGGGGGCCTGGCTATTTGCTGTGGCTCTTTCTAAGGCTTGTGTGCATATTATGGGCACTTCTCAAGGACTGGTGGTGTCTGTTTTGTTACAGGAGAGCTATTCTGCTAGTTCCTTGTTTAGCCTTCAGGGAAGGATGGTCATTAAATGCTTGGGAATAGTTGGGGCCACTCTGCCAGGCTGGCAGTGAGGTGTTCCTCCATTCGGTTGGTTGATGATGGAGGACCTCATTCAGTTGGGTGTCAGATCAGCGTGTGTCACCACTGGAGTGTGGGAGTCACCAGAGTTTGTGGTAACTCACCCAAAACCCCAACTCGTCCCGGACTGACCATTGGAATGTGTACAAGCCCTGCTACCCAGCTCGTGTCCAGCCTTCCCGCCAGGGGTTGGGTGCGATACGTCACCTGTCTGATGGGGGGCAATGGTCAGAATCAGGAGGCAGCAACTCACCCCATGTTGCAAATTCTGGCTCTCCTGGCCAACACCTGTAGCACATCTCCACATTGAGTTTAACCTCTCTGGAGCTGAGACAGCAGAGGACGCACAAGCAATACAGGGACTTTTTACACTGCCCCTGAGTAACAGAGAACCTCTGGGCAAGTCTGACTTGGTGGCTGTCCAGGGACAGTTTGCAATGAGGAATTCCAAACACCACCTCCCTAACTTATAGTGGCCATGGCTATCTCCTGCCTAGTCTAGGGAGCTCACACAATGGAACTCTACACCAAGGGAATTTGGTCTCTCCAGCAATTGTCATTCACCACTTACTCTGATAAAGTCAGTCATAAATCTGCTAAGGATTGTCAGAGACCTAGTATTCCTGGGTCAAATGGGCAATCTGTGTATTGGGAAAGCCTTCGGGAGGCCGGAGTGGGCATTTTCTCACAAGTTATTCCTCATCATCATACACCTAGCAAGGAAGGCCCACATGATCACAGTCAGCTTGAGTTGATCTGTGTCGCATCCTTCTGAATGTCTTCTGGATTGGGGCGTGGCAGATCGGATTACCCCTTCCTCCAGTGAGGGATGCTGGAGATGAGTTGCCTCACGTCCGACCTAAACCAGGATCTACCAGTATTTTATTACTACTACTAAAAGGTACCTTCCCCCTTTGCTGACGGAGGATGGTGCTATATGTTTTTCCACTGACACCTCTTGTATCAAGGTCTGTTCAAAGCCCGGGAGTGACGGAATTTCAGTTATCATAACAGCACCATATCGGCTCAGGCAAGAGTGGTTTTCAACACAGTTTTACAGGGTAAAAACTGGTCCCCTCAGGATGAGTCTCTGGTCTCAGATCGTCATTTGAGACCATGGTGTCGCAGTGCATCCCAGCTCCGGAGCCCGCTGCCTGGTCCCTGGTAGGAACATAGCTGCCAACGCAGTCTGGTATACAAAGGTAGATATTAAATTGCCTAAACATTACATAAAATCCTGTGCAAGTCCTTGTTGACAGTGCAGAGCCTTCCTGCTCATTTCTCTTGGCGTGGGTGGCAGGCCCTGGGGCATGGGCTATAGATGCCAGCTCTGCTCCCACTGGACTTGAGGACAGACCGGGGTAGGGGCTGTGGCAGATGGTGGGCACAGGGAACTGTTCCCACCTCTTTTCCTCCAGGGGAGAGTGGTATTTGCAGGCTGTTGTTGGTGACCGTGGGGATGCTCGCTCCTTCCATCCCTCTTGTTCCTTTTCAGGCTGGAAAGCTCCTCTTTGAACCACCTGGTTCCTAGGAGTTTTAATTCCTTA